GTTTGCATAACAATGGTCTTTTGTTAAAGTGTTCTTTAGCTGGTATAAAGACGTATGCACGTGACTAATTTCTTACTCAAGATTGGATAATTGCTTCATGAATTATTAATGAGTTTTTGAAATATAATATATATATAATCAATTTTAGAGACAGTATAGGATCAGCTAATTGGCGGCTGTTTTATTTTGTTTAAATATTTCCTTGTTGTATATATATAACGAATCTCAGGCTACACCTTCGTTGATTATTCGCTCATAGTCAACTCCGCCTCGTTATCCAATTGTTCGTTCATTATAGTCCAGTGTTACTTAGCACAGGAAGAAAACTTAATTAACTAAACCAACTCTACTGAACCACAGTTAAGACTGAACCAAAAGCGCCTGCTTGCTGCATCTAGTGTATGCATGCAACTAGACTTTCCCAAAGTCCTTTCCAGTTTTTTTCGACAAACAATATATAGCTTAGAATTTAATCATTTTTGAAATAATTTAATCATTTTTGACTGCCACCTTTGAAAATATTTTAAAACAGATTGGTTAAAATAACCAATTCAAATTGGTTGTCTCAGACGCATCTCTTTTTAACCAATTTTATTTGGTTAAAACAACCAAAATATTGGTTGTTTTAACCATTTTTTTTGGTTTTAACCAATTTGTTGGTTGTTTTAAGCAATAAAAATTGGTTAAATTAATGCGTCTGAGATAACCAATTTAAATTGGTCATTTCAACCAATCTGTTTTTACAGTGTGTCATTCATTTACATATGCTAGAAACGTTGTACAGTACTTTTTATCTTTTACTTATTTTACAGTTTTACATGCAAGATGCATGCATGTCAGTCTTTCTGCCTAAAATGCAGACTATTACAGGCCTATTACACTCCACACCTTGCGTGATGGACATTCATATCACAGAAGACAGGTCTTCGTAGAATTCAGGCAATTACTAATTTTAAAATATTTTAAAGTACAAAACTTTCGAAATATTTCTATTCGCCGTAATTTGGATATATATAAAGATAGTCGCTTTCACACTAACACATTTAAAAATATAATTGTATTAATTGCTTTTTAAAGATATTTCGTTATCTTGATACCATTGTAATAAAGCACAATAAGATCCTTGACCTTGTAGGTTGGCAAGGTAAAAATCATATAGCTAAGTGTTTTGTTTTGTGGAACGTTTCAATTCCTTTGCCTTGGCTTTGGCGAAGCTTTCGATGCAAGTCATTGCATGATGGTGCTATAATAATCACACTGGTGAAGATCCATGCAGGCTTACTGGCACGAATCGAAAGCTAGTAATAAATGATGTTTCCACAAATACCAAACAATTATATTATCGGCATGCAATCAAACAAGGACAGGGGCGGCGTTAGTCCTCATTAATGGGGGTGAGGTGAGGTATAGTTTTGTCGAGTGGGCAATTACTAACTTTTGTTAACATTGCATATACGCGGATTGAGCAAAAGTCTCCAGTAAAAACTGTCAGATCTGTCGATTATATTCGACTGTTTTTAGACACATTTTTCCAGCCATGACCGCTGTCGTCTGCATTTATCCTGGCATTTATATAGGCGGTTGCACTGTTTTGAATTTTTTTAAAAATTATCCGCTTTTACATTTAAATTCACGTTTGATTTTAATTCAGATAATTCAATTTGATAATTTGGTCCGTATCTAAACAGCTCAATTTTTGCCGAATGAATGCAATAATGTGCCGACTCGTTTATGAAGGGAGGATGTTCCACCCCCTATACCCCTCCTCTCTAGCGCCGCCCCTGAACAAGGAACTAATTACTGTCGTTCCAATTGAAGTGCTCAAATATTGATTCAATACATTACCTCGGGCTGACCAATTCATTTCATCAAGTTCCTTGAGATATTCATATATACA